CTTTGGAAAATTTTCTTTTACAAGATCACAGCAAAGTGTTAAAGACCACAGAGAAGCCATTAGTACTTAGAGAGATATTTCCATCTTTCACCGTGAAGGGTCATTCAGAATTCTGCAGCACAAAGAATTTTATTTCCCTGGAAGTCTAACATAGGAAGAAGCCAGAAAAGACTAGATCAGAGAACTGGTTTGTTGACTTAGTGCTTGCTAGGTATTTTTCAGGAGATACACTGATGAATAAAATAAAGTCCTTTCTCTTATGACAATAGCAAACAAACAAATACATAATATACTATTAATTGTTGAAGGACCTCATGAAAAAATAATGCAAAATAAAAGAGTTAAAGAATGATTGGGCTGCCAGAGAAGCTGCTTTGAAGAGATGGCATTTGATGAGAGATCAGCCTGAGCTGGGAGAGTGGGTCATGCAAACATCAAGGGAAGAAAAACTGAACCAGGAAAACTGAAGAGCACATGTAAAGCATGTGAAAAAGCTTGGCTTATTTGAGAATTGGCCATGAGGCCAGTGTGTCCAGAATAATGGCCAAAGAATTAGTCGAATTTGATGAAAAGCATCAAAACATTATACTAAGAAGTTCAATAACTCCAATTCAGACAAATAAATAAAAGCACACCTAGGCACATTGTAGGGAAGCTGCTGGAAACCAAAGACAAAAATAGAAAGCTTAAAAGCAGCAGGAAAAAACAGTCATGATATCCACAGGGAATAGCGATAAAGTCATAGCTGACACTACAAACTGTAAGATCAGAAGACAACAAAGCAATATCTTTAACATCCTGAAAGGAAAAAAGGCTGAGAATTGCAAATGTTGTATCTACTAAAAATATCCTTCGAAAAAGGTGAAAAAATGTTTTCCGAAAAATGCAAGCTGAGAGAATACTTTGCCAGGAGATTACACTATATGAAATGCTGAAGAAAGTTATCTAGGTAGAAGAAAATGATAACAGGTTGGTATTCAGAGATAATGAAGAGCACTGTGAATGGCTAATATGGATGAAGAATAAAAAATAATTTTTCTTGCTCAATAATTTTCTTAATTATTTATGTGATTACTTTTAATGAGAATTGACTGTTTGATGAAAATGTAGTTTGAGATTCATAGCAAATAATAGGAGTAAAATATAAGAGTAGCATAAATGACAAGAATTTAAATTGAATTTTACTCACAAGATTCTTATATTGCACATAAAATGCTATAATATTAACTCAGATACTATGAATGATCATGTCAACTATTTTGTTAGGACATAAATTCAATTTCATATAACAGAGACACAAAATGATAAAGTTATAAATGAAATAATGTATTTCTTTCCTAAATAAAAGTTTTTGCTAGTATAAAAGCTTTGGTTTCAAGACCACTGGGAGCCCAGACTCTTCTTCTTTTGGATGATGGACACAGATGCAAAACCAGCAATCTCTGCTGTGTTCGGGCACCTTCCTATGATGCTTCATGCTTCTCGTATTCCCTTGGGCCTGTGACTGGCTTGCCTCATACTCTACATCTAATCTTTGGGATCATCACAAGGATGATGAGGAGGTATAAGGCTCATCTTACAATAAATCTTCAACAAACTCAGCACCTCCTTCGTTTTCTTTAAATATATGGCTTCTGCATAAGATACTGTTTAAAGTAAAGGGTCTCTAGTTGCTATGGCTAGTTTTGCATGTCAACTTGCCTGGGTCATTGGGTGTTCAGAAATTTAATTGATCATTATTCTGTAGGGTGTTGGATGAGATTAACATTTGAATTTGTACAATGAGTAGAGCAGAGAGCCCTCTCCAAAGTGAGAGGGCTTCATCTAATTGGTTAAAGGCTTGAAAAGAACAAAAAGACAAACCATTCCTCCAGTAAGAGGGCACTCCCCCCACCTGACCATTTTGAACTAAGACATTGGTCTTCTCTCCCTTCAGACTTGAAATGAAACATCATATTGTACTCTTCTTGGTCTTGAGCCTGCCAACCTTTGGATTAGAAATACAGTGTTGTTTCTCTAAGTCTGCAACATGCTTACTACAGATCTTGGAATTTGTCATTCTCTACAATTGCATGAACCAATTTCTTTAAATAAATAAATAGATACAAATTTAGATATAGATATAGATTTAGATTACATATACTGTGCACACACATTCTGTCTCTGCAGAATCTTTCTGATTCCTACATCAGTTAAAAATAAAAACAACCAGGAGCCATTGATTTAGGTTCTATATGTAACAGATGGAAGAATGAGGCCTGGAGCCATCAAGTGGCTCCTATAATTTATGTGGTCAAAAATCCAGAACTAGATTTAAGTCTGCTAATGGCAGTCTAATATTCTCCACACAGAGTGTCTCTTTGTCCTTTGGATCATATTACAAATGAAAATGTACTGTGCTTTACTCAAAGGCATATTCAAGTACTATTTCTCAAGTACAGTTGATTTTAGGTTTCCTATTATTTGTACAGTTTCCATAGAAACTGTAAAATGCAAATTCACTTTTTATACCAAGTTTTTTCCTAGGCTAAAATGATGGGAAGATGTGGAAAATAAACTCATCTTGCCTTTTTAATGGTCACCACTGGAACAGAACATCCTTTAAAATCTGCCTGGTAGCTGAATTGTTGATTGAATTCTGCAAGCAAATGCCAACATTACCAAAGTAAAACCACAGTGTAGAACAAGAGAAATACTGTAAGTGCTCTGCACTGAGCATACTAGAGTCTGGATTTGATTCATCAAGCTAAAAAATGAAATAATCTCTTGGTGTGGCAGGGTTTATATAAGTAATATCATTCTCCCTTGAGTGGGGGGTGGAAGGAAAGAATGGTTGTATTTCTGAACAGACATTAGGAAGACATTACTTGTATGTAGACAGTGACAGTATTTTCTGGACCAAATATTAGGTCATATCAGTGATGGTATTTAGAAAGGACTTAATATAAACTCTGGTTTGATGATAACTGAATAATTTGCATAACTATTATGTTTTTATATTACTAAAAACCTAGCTTTTTATAAAGATATAAGTCACATACCAGATACTTCATTTAAAGGGTAGTAAAATTTAGCGATTTTCAGAATGTTCTAATGTTGTATAATCATCACCACTACATAATTCCAGAACATCTTTATCACCCCCAAGAGCCTCACCTTATTAGCACCCCTCATTTCCTTCTCCCCACAGTTCCTAGGAATCCCTAACCGTAAGGACATTTTATAGAAATGAGATCTTAGAATATGTGATTTTCTTTCTTTTTTTTTGTTCCGGGGATCGAACTTGGGTTCTTCGCTTGCTAGGCAGGCAGTGGAACCACTGAGCTAAATCCCCAGAGCACTATTCAGGATTTTGAGGAACACCAGTACTGATTTCCATAGGGAATGTACTACTTTACCTTCCCACCAGCAGTGTATAAAGTTTCCTTTAACCCCATTCTAACAAGTGTTTGTTATTTTTCTTGTAATACTCTTGAGGTTAACCGTTCATACCTGAAACGGAATCTCAGTGTAGTTTTGATTTGTGTTTCCCTAATCCCTAAAGTGCTATGAGAGTATTTACCAGAAGGAACTAATCCTGGGAGAGAGGACAACAGTGGCAGTAGGAATCAGTAAAACTTTTCTGAAACTTGAACTGAGTTTAAAAATGGTAGAAAGACTTGATTATAAAAACTCAAACATGGGCTGGGGACCAAAAAGAAAAAAAAAAAAGGATATATGATTTTTAAATATCTGGCTTCTTTCACTTGATCTACTTGCCTAGACTTGCATTTTTACCACATTGTCTTGATTTCTACAGCTCAATTAGAAGTCATAAAATCAAGCAAAGAGAGTCTTCAAACTTCATTGTTCTTTTTCAAGAATGCTCTAGGGGTTTGGGATGTAGCTGAGCAATAGAGCACTTGCCTAGCATATGCAAGGCCCTGGGTTCGATGCTCAGTGCTACACACAAGTCTCCACCACCACAGCTGTTCTGTGTCTTTAGCATTTCTATACCAATTTTAGAATCAACCTACCAGTTACTACAAAAAAGGCATGTGGAGATTCTGATAGGGATTTTAATCTATAGATCCACTTGAGGAGAAATGATACTTGAATAGCACAATGAAGTCCTCCAGTCCATGAGTATAGGAGAGTTCTGTAGCTATCTCAATCTTTTAAAATTTCTCTCGGTTTTTAATAAATGTGTTTTCCATTACATGTATCCATATTATTTTAGTTTTTAAAATCTTCTAGGAAATGGTATTGTTTTATATTTATCTTCTACTTTTTGTTTCTAGTATAAATAAATGCATTTGATTTTAATCTATTGGCTTTGTAGCTTATAACCTTGCTAAGTTAACATAATTATTTTGGCATTTAAAGTATATTTATGAAGATTTTTTTATGTAATCATTAATGTCTGTGAATAAAAGCAGTTACAGTTCTTTCTTTCCAGACTTTCTGCATTTTATTTATTTTTTGCATCGGTTAGAACTTCTTGTCTGATGTTACATGTAGGTAGTAAGATTAGGCTCCCTTGCTTCATTTCTGATTTTAGGAAGGAAATAGCCATTCTTTAATAAGAAATATCATCTTAAATATAGATTTTTCATGGATGCCCTTTATCACACTAAATATATTTCTTCCTATCCCCTTTTTGGTAGGACCCTTTTTTTTAATCACAAGAGGGTGTTGAAATTTGTCAAATGCCTTTTCTGCATCTATTCAGATGTTCATATGATTTTCTTCTTCTATTTTGTTGATGTAGTAAATTAAATTGATTAATTTTTAAATGAAAATTCTCTCTTGAATTCCTAATATGAAACCCATTTGTTTTGTTAAGAGTTTTTGCATGTATGTTTATAAGGGATATTAATTTTTAGTTTTCTTGCAATTTTCTTGTCAGATTTTGATATCAGGCTAAGGTAGCCATTTAATTTACATTAGCTATATTCTCATCTCTTCTACTTTCTAACTGTGTGTAAGATGGTTATTATTTTCTCCTTTAATGTTTAAAGGAATTCACCAGTGTAGCAGATTGGATTCTCTGCAACAACTGCTGAGATGGAATTTGAGGATGAAAGATGGTTATTATGAATTAACATCTGTGGAGGGAGACACAGACAGGATTCAACTCAACTCCAAGTTACTGTGGAGCAAGCAATGCCCATTAGGTTTCAGGTACAACCTTTATACTGTGCCTTGTTCTGTCATTATGTGTAGACAATTCCAGGAAAGCTATGACAATGGAGGAGGCAGAAGTTTGCAGCTGAGCAGGACCCCACCAATCCTAGCTAAGTTGCCGGCAGAATTCTAATCTCTGCCCCTCAGCTCTCCAGCAGGGCCAGCCTCTTTTGGGGTTCTGTCTTTGGGTGCTGGCTGATTTAGAGGTCATCTTTTTTTTGTTTGTTTTACTTTACTCACTTTTTTTGCTTCCTTGTATTATAGTTCTGTGTTTTCTTCTGTAAAGTAAATAGTTATTTCATATATCTTTTTCCATTTTCTAGTTGTTTTCAACAGAAGGGCGGGTCCAAGACCAACTCCTCCATCAGGGTAAGAAGAGAATATTACTTAGTTTAACTTTTGTCAAGATAATTTTTGTTGTGTACACATTTATTTCCATTATTTTTTATTAGGAATTCATTTTTGACCCAGCATTATAATTTTGAGGTATATTTTTCCTTAGCAGACCAGAAGAGTTTAAAAATTTTGGAAGTACAAAAGGCAGCAAGAAACCCAGACCACAGCTTGGAATGTTTGGCTGTAGACCCTTTCTCAGGTATCTACTCTCCCCTCACTAGCACGACAATACACTTTTTAAAAAATGAAATTAATCACATAAACAAGTTTTATGGCAGATTTCCAGAGCCCTCAGCCAAGACAACAGAGTCTCACTGTAGCTTCCTTCACAACTTGGCCCTGCTCTTGGGCCATGTCAGCAGGACCCCACACATCTGAATGGCATAACCATGTTTGCAGTGGTGAACGCTCCTGTAATCCAAACATTTTCACTGCTTGGGCTGCTATAACAAAAGTATCACAGACTGGGTGGCCTAAACAACAAACACTTATTTCTTGCAGTTCTGGAGGCTACAAGTTCTACATCAACGTAGTAGATTGTTCACCAGTGGCTGTCTTCTGGCTCTGTCCTCACATAGCAGAATGGGTAATGGAGCTTTCTGGGGCCTCATTTATATGGACACTCATCCCACTAATGAGAACTCCACCCTCATGATCTAATCACTTCTCCAAAGCTCCACCTTCTGACACTATCACCTGAAGGGTTTGAAGGGTTAAGATTTTAACACATGAATTTTTTGGGGTGGGGATCCAAATGTTTAACAGAATATCACAATTCTTCATATTACATGTTCTGAGGGATGGAGGAAGTCAAATTTGTGGCTTTTAAAGTTCATGTTTGGGCTGGGGATTTAGCTCAGTGGTTCCATCGCCTGCCTTGCAAGCACAAGGTCCTGAGTTTGATCCTTGGTACCAAAAACAAAAAGTCTATGTGTTAAAGTTCATGTTTTTGAAAAAAGAATATTTTGGGGAAAATTGGTGGATTAGAATGAGAAAACCAGAAGATGGTGTACAAAAGAACAGAGCTTTGACACATTTCATTTTCATTCATTCATTGGTTATACAGTAGGCACTCAGTGGACACTTGGTTATTGGGTGATGTGGAATTTCATATTCACTATAACTGGTACTTTTCTTTTATTAACAGTCAGCTCATTTTCAGACCTACATTTCCCTGTGGAAGAAGACATTGTTTTATTTTGGCACTTTTGAAATAATGGTAGACATTGCGAATGCAGGAGTAATCGCAATGGAATGAAAAAGAATTATCGCAAGTGAGCTTCTAGTGTGGGTGTTGAAAACTAATGAAATGCTTTATTATTCTGTGTTCTGCTCTAGAGAACTTTCAATATTCTTTAGTTAAATCTGACTCTATTAGTTATTATCATTGCAGAAATGTGAAGAATAAAAAGTTCAGAAGCCATTTGTGTTCAAATAGACTGCAATTAAAAAGTCCCAGGCAAGCATTATATGCTTATAAATAAGAGAGCTACAAGAAGAAAAAAAAATCAGAAGCAAAATGCTGAAGCAAGTTATAATCTGCCAGATAGGAGAAAGGCAATAGAAAACCAGAAAAGAAAAAAAGGAACAGTTATGACCCCTAATTAGCAAATGAAAAAAGATAATCAGAGGCCTCAAAGAAGGCTGAATTATTAAAAATCGCACTTCAGTTTTACAAAGAAATTCTAGGGGATGACAAGCTTTTAAACTTACAGTGAGGATTGATGAACAGGATATAATCAGCATCAGGATATTTCAAGGAACAAAGAAAGAAATGAGCCTGACTACAAATTTTTTTAAATCTCCTGAACTAAAAAATCCACCAATAATAGAATATGTCATCATACTTGAATATTCCTTTTGTGCTTCCACAACTATTTTGATTCTTTTATTTTGAGACATGGTCTCACCATATAGTTCAGCCTGGTTTTGTGTATGTGTCTTTTTTTTTTTTTTGGTACCGGGAACTGAACTCAGGACCTTGTGCTTGTGAAGCAGGTGGTGGCACCACTGAGCTAAACCTGGCCCCTTATTCAATGTGGTTTGTATATCTGTTTTTAAAATTTTTTATAAATTTTTAGGTACTGGGGATTGAACTTGGGACCTTGCACTTGCGTGGCAGGCAGCAGAACCACTGAGCTAAATCTCCAGCCCAATGTAACCCAGGCTGGATTGAACTTTCAACTATCCTCTTGCTTCAGTCTCCCAAATGCTGGGATTACTGGTGGGTGCCATCACACTCTGCTCAACTATTTTGATTATCTTATTCTGGATTATCAGTCCCCTGCCAATGTTTTTCCAAAAAATGCTTTTTTTTTTTGCAGGTCTTTGACGGTACTGCCACATTCCATAATCATATCTGCAAAAAAGACACAAGTAAATGGATCCTGTATGGATCTTCAGTTTCATATGCTTCTGACAGGTCTCATCTGAAGTTTGCAATGATCTGGATTGAGATCTAATGATTACTGACTGTTATCTGATCACTGTAACAAGGCTACTGAGCCAAGGAAAGTATCCTTTGACAAGGATTGGTCAAGAAAACATCAACAATGCAGACTGTTCCTAATAATAAAACTGTTATCATTCCTTGAGTGCTTAATATTGGCAGATCCCACATACCCAACGTCTGATTTAATACTTTCAACAATTTTATGAGCCTTGTAGGACAATCTTTATTTTACAGATAGGAAAATTTCAGTTCACAGAAGTTTGATAATTTGCTTAAGATATAGCTGATGAGTGGTTTGTCCCAAGTTTTGATACCAAACCACATGCCCTTGTCATGACACAAAGTTCCCATTCTTTTTGAGTTCCTTCACAGCTTTAAATGCTTTCATATTATCACAATTGGCAAAATGTGAAGACATTCTGAAAAAAAACCCCTGCCATGGTAAGAGATTTAGAAAACAGAGTAGAAATCTTTAAGGATCAGATCTGAAGTCAGTAAATTAAATGAAAATAGTATGTAGAAGAATCAACCTTGAGTAACTGTGATGAAGTAAATATACCCCACCTATCTCTGATCACAACTAAAAATTGACCAGAATACATAAAGCAACTACCTGAGAACTGAAGTATAAACAGCAGTAGTCATGTTGGGAAGGAAAATGAAATCATAAACAGTGACTGATACAGGGGTAGGTTTTCTTTTCTTTTTTTCTTTGTTTGAAGTCCACCATACCTTTTGATTTATACTTGAGAGCAGCCTAAATGCTGGAATTCTGCAATGGCCATGGAAAGAAGAAAGCTCCAATGAAAACCTTCACTTTTTAGAGAGAAGAAAAAAAGCAGGAAGTAGGTTCTTTGTAGGACAAAATGTGTAATAAAAATGCCTCCTCTCTTAATTTTCTCTCTTTTTACTCTTGCAGTTCTGCTCTGTACTTCTGAAATAGCAGCAGTGGTTGCACAGAGATCTCACTCTTTGAAGAAAGTCCTCCTTTTGGACCAGTGGACCCTGTGGTGCTGCCTTGCTCTTATGGACCCTGTGTTGCTGCTTTGCTCTTAAGATCAATTCAATCCCTGAAGTATGTAACAGTGCAGAGAGGATAAAATCCCAATTTTTCAGCTACAGAACCAGGATAGAAGACTCTTGGGAGTTGGAAAGTATGAGAAAGGGGATATCACAGAGAGCCCCTAAAACTGAATTTAAACAGGACCCTGACACTCAAAAAAAAAAAATGTTCTCAATGTCCATAATATAATTCAAGATCATGGAACATACAGAGAATCTGGAAAAATCTCAATAATTCTCATGGGAAAATGACAACTAGCAGATTTTAACCCTAAAATAATCTGGATGTTAGAATTAACAAGGTCTTTAAAGCAGTTATTAACTATGGTTCATTAAGTAAGGGCAAATGCTATTGAAGTGAAGGAAAAGATAGGAGTTTTCATCAAATTCATAAAAATTATAAGAAGAAACAAACATTTTATGATAAATGAAATAATATTATGTTAATAGAAATAAAAATCCCCCTGTACTGGTTTATTAGAAGTGTGGAGATAGAGTAGTGAAGGAACTTGAAAATAAAATTATCCAGAGAAAATTTTAAAATATTTTGAATATATCAAAAATTATAAGCTGCTACAAAGGTAGCACTTATAAAAACACTAAAAATTTTAAATACTTATATATGGGGGACAGGGATTTAGCTCAGTGGTGCTGCCACCTGTCTTGCAAGTGCAAGGTCCTGAGTTCGATCTCTGGTATCAAAAAAAAAAAATCCAAAAAACTTACATATGAAAAGAATGATCTCAAATAAAAATCTAATATTATATCCTAAGAAAGAAGAAAAGGAAGAGTAAATTAAATTGCAAATAAGCAGAAAGGAAGAAATGATAAAGATAAGAACAGAAATCAATGAAATTGAAAACAAAAAATAATGAAGAAAATAATTGAGAACAAAAACTGATTCTTTGAAAATATCATGAAAATCCAGAATGAACTGAGAAAGAGAAAGAGAGAGACTATGTCTTAGTCACTTTCTCACTGCTAGGGCACAATATCCAACAACTGCGACTTAAAGGAGAAGTTTATTTTGGCTCACAGTTTCAGAGGTCTCAGTATATGTATGCTTGGCTGGCTCCAAGGGAGAAAGAGCATGGATGAAGAGCCTGGCCTTTACTTTCTACATTACTATAAACATTCTGGTTTTCTGATCTCCAACCAGAAGCTTCTATCAAACTAAGTTTACAGGATTCTATGGCTTCTCTAGCCCTCATCTCCAGATCTTTCCAAACTTCTACCGTGAAACAGCAAAAGCTTCGAAACCTCATAGTTAAGAATAGTTACAGCAATGACCTCACTTCTCTTGTACCATTATCTGTCTTATTCATTTTCTTCATTGTTGGAACAAAATACTCAAAACCCACAAATTGAAGGAGGAAAGGTTTATTTATGATTGCAGTCCATGGCCCACTGTTTCCAAGGGAGAAACAGCATGGAGGAGGGGGATAGCAGAGGAAAGCTTCTTATGGTATAGCAGCCAGGAAGCAGAGTAAAGGGAGGAGTGAGGAAAGGAGATATACCTTTCCAGGTCATGTCCCCCTTCTAATAGAAAGTTAGCTATGAACTCATCAGTGGATGAATGCACTGATGAGTACACTGCCCCTATATTCCAATCATATTTTTTCATATCAAATGAGGCTTTGGGGGGACATTTTAGATCTAAACCATAGCATTCCACTCCTGCCCCTCAAAAGACCCCTTTCCATCTCTTTATGCACACTGCATTTAGTGCATCTATAAGAGTTGCCAAAATTTTAACAGTTCCAGCATTACTGAAAAGTACGTGTCCAAAGCCTCATTAAGACTCAAAGAAAACTCTTAGTTATGAGTCCCTATAAAAATTAAAAAGAAAGTTAAACATTTTAACATATAATAGCACAGGGTAAACCTTCACATTCCAAAAGAGAGAAATGGAGAGACAGAAAGGAATGGGACCAAACAAGACTGAAACCCCACAGGGCAAACATTAAATATCATAATTCCATATCCAGCACATGATACAAGTTATGGCAAGATGTGAACACCAAAGGGCTTGACTGGTCCTGACTCTATGGCCTTTCTAGTTGTAGCTATCATGGCCTCTTTTTTGGGTTGGCTCTGCTCATGTCTGTAGCTTTCATTAGATTTTTCATGTTTCTGGCTTTTCTGACTTTCTGGAGTCTCTACTACACTTTTGGATTCATTCTCACAGCTTCATGCAATGCCCTCTCAGGGCACACTGCCTGACCCCAGGCTTTCTTCTGAAGTCTGAGTGGAAGCTTTCCTAACCCCATAACTCTTGGATTCTGCATGTCCATAAAACCAACAGTAAAGAGATAATGCCAAAGTTTGCTGACTGCTCATGTAGTAGCTGGACCCCCCTGAATCATGGCTGCAGAGGCCTCTGAGTGTCTGGATTGCTGAACTCTGTGAAGTAAATCCTTGAGGAATAAATTTCCTATGCAGCTGTAGAGTACCTGTGTATGTGGGGGAGGGGGTCTCTTCTCAAAGCAGTCTTTCAAGAGTTTACCTTTGTCATTTTACACCCTTGAATGAGTAAATGGTGGGCTCTTGCTGATTCCTGAGATACCCTCAAGACATTTTTACTATTGTTCTAATGCAAAGTACTTGGTGGCTTTTTAGTGCTAATCTTTTCAGCAATAAGTATCTCCTTGTAGGCATTTTCTGATGAAACTACAAGCTGTGTAAATCACTTAACTCTGCATTTGCTCTTGTTTCTCATTACAGATCTTGCTAAAAGCAGCAAGCAGTGCCCATACATGTTAGGCTTTCTGGATAATTCCTCTGCCAGATTATTTAGTCTGGCACCCTTAATCTCAGTCTCCTACAAAGTCACAGGACATGGGCAAAATATAGACAATATTTCTACCAGAGCATAACACACATGGCCTCTAGCCCAACTACCAAAGGCATCCTTATTCCTAACTGAAACCATCTGAGCCTGGCATTTACTTTCCACATTCCTATTAGGATTCTGATCTTCTGAAGTCCAACCAGAATCTGACATCAAGCTCAGCTTATAGCATTCTACAGTTTCTCTAGTTGGCATCTTCAAACCTTTCCAAACTCCTTTTATGAACTAGTTCTAAAGGATTCCAAATGACATGGTTAGGTATATTCACAGTAACAATTCAACTCTTGGTTCCAAAATCTGTCTTAGTCATTTTCCTTGTTGCTGTCATGTAATTCTCAACATTTACAACCTGAAGGAAGAGAAGTTTATTTTGGCTCACTGGCACAGTCCATGGTTGGCTGGTTCCAAAGCAGAAACAAGATGGCAGAGGGACATAGAAGAGGAAGCCTGCTTGTGGCATGGTGACCAGAAGCAGAGAATTATGAGAGGAGCTGGGGAGGGAGATATACCATTCCAGATGATGTCCCCACTTACCCACCTCTTCAAGGAACTTGAAAATAAATAGAAATTATCCAAAGAAATTTAAAATGTTTTGAACATATCAAAAGTTATGGAACACCACTAAGGAAGTGCTTATAGGAAAATTTAAAATATTAAATGCTTATATATGGAAAGACCTCAAATCAAAATTTAATATTATATCCTAAGAAAATAGAAAAAGAAGAATAAGTAGCAGAAGGAAGGAATAAAGAACACAAACCAATGAAATTTAACCTGAAAGAGTAAGAGAGAAAATAACTGAAAACAAAGATAGTTCTTTGAAAAGATCAATAAAATACAGATTAAAGTCAGAAGGGAGGGAAGAGGAGAGAGAGAGAGAAAGAGAGAGATAGAGTCAGACAGAGTCAGAGAGAGAGAGAGACAGAGAGACATACACATGGGGAGAATTACCAATATTAGGAACAACAAAAACAACAACAAAGGATATTACTATATACATAAAAATACAACAAGGTATAGGGATAGGGGTCTGTAGGCAGGGAAAGAATAGAATAAGGACCTCATTAGGTTTTCTGGCTAATCCTGACTAGAAAAAGTTAAAACTTTCCTGGAGGGAGCAATTAATAAGACAAGAGAAAGAGCTGATAAGCAGAGCATGAGGAAGCCAGGAGTACTAACCAAAGTAGCCACCCCTCCCCACCTCGAATAAAATCTACAAAAGGAAGGGGAGGGACTACCTATCTTAAAGGAAAACTCTTATTTAGTATACAAAATATATAGGTATTCCCACTTTAGGGTCACTATATTGCTGCACTACATAATACACATCCACTTAATCACTAATTTTAAATTGTTTTTCTATAAGGCTCCTCCTAGTCCACCTATACATCTCAGCAATAAGGTTCTGACAAGGGGAGGAAGTCAATGTGCATGTAGGCAATGGTGCCTGGATTATATTCTTGTGGCCTAAGCATTATCTAAGACAGCTCAGAGATACAATCAGGTTGTGACAAATTCCAGGTACCCAACTAAGTGGGAATCATCCCTCAAAACCTAATAAAGGAGGCTGGAAACAAAGGATCCCTGGGTATTCCTCTTTCTGAAGTCCCCGACCCCTCTTTGGGGCAGCTTACTGTCTTCTGCTTTTTCCTCCTTACAAATAAATTGTCTTCCTTTTTTAGCCTCTCTGCCTCTAATCCATTATTGTTGCTGAGTTTTTAACCTCAGTTAGCTGCTCATCCCAGTAGCACTCACCTCAGATGTGACAAAAGAAATACTATAAATAACACTATAAGTTCACCACCCGAGATGGAATAGAAAAATTCTTTGTAAGACACACACTGCCAAAATGTACATAAAAAGAAATAGATAACCTGGGCCCAGAGGAAGGGGCTTCTGAGCCACCATCCCACTGCTCCTGGCTTAGAGAAAGGGGCTTTTGGGCCACCATCTGTCCCGCCACTCCTGGGCCATAGGAAGGGGCTTCCTGGTTGCTGCCCATCCTGCTGCTCCCAGCCTAGAGAAAGGGGCTTCTGAGCTGCTGCCCCACCGCTCCCAGCTCAGAGGAGGTGAGCCTCATGGGCACCAACAGCACCCCCCAGCCTGGGTCAAAATGAGAAGACACATAAACAAGTCTCAAAACCAGACTTCCAGATGACCTAGAGCAACCCCAAAGGGAAATGAGATGGAACACACTGCTACTAAACCACCTGGACTCCCTGAACTGGCAACAAAAGAGGATCTGGAAAAGATGAAATCAGAAATAATTTCTCAGATAACAGCAGAGATTATGCTCATAGTGCAAGACATGATTAATAAATCTAGAGAGGAGCTGAGGAACAT